TACCTTGAGTTCGTACGATTAAGCTTTGGGCATCAACAACATTCATTTAAAATAGCTACGTACACCTTTTTTAGCGTAGTGAGACCCTGGAGACATCGGTGATGATGTCAGATGGAACCATAAAAGAGATAGGAAGTACTCGTAAATAATTCATGAACGTGTTTAATAGGAGAAAATGTTGGAAAGACCTGGAAAGACATTACTATGATAAAAAAGTATTCCCTATTTCGTACATCAAACTGAAAAATAAATATAAATAGCGAGTCCTATTATTATACTAATAACCACATTGACGTAGAGAAAGATTTTTGCTTTGGGGTCTTGCTTCAATGAAGTGAGTATAGCCATTTTTTCTTGATGTTCCTTTTGTGYTTGGATGGCTTCAACGCTATCTTCTTTGTAGCCGCAAAACCAGTCGACAAACATTGAAAAATAAGATGGTCGACCAAATTCTGAAAGTCAAAAACAAATGCGGTTTGTTAGTGATATATTTGCGAGCCGAAACCAACTGAAGTCGAATCCAAGGAGAAAAAAAGCACATGCGCACATTTTGTAGCATTAAAATTCAGCGGAGACAGAAGCTTAAAGCGTAGAAGAAAGCAGAAAAAGTAAAGAAAACCTTCCGTTCTGCTTCTTGTACTATTCCCGTCTCCATCTACSTACCCTTCCACTAGCTTCATTATTAATGATTGGACCTTAAAAATAATTGCTTTATGCATTTTAAAACACAAGAGTTCAATGAAAAATAATCGCTTTCCAGAGCATGCATTCCCTGTAAAATGTGGTGATCTTATTGATTGATTATTAATTTATTAAGTGTTAATGTCGTATTCAGTGATCCGCCATTTTTTCCAGTTAAATTGCACAGCGTACCTATTTCAGTAATCGGCAGTCTCTCTTCACCGCTTCCGTTGACTTCTTTCGATGGTATTATATTTAATTCGACTTCTTCAGTTTCCYCGACTTTCTCAGTTGGAAGAGTATCATCAGAGGTGTCTTTATCATACCTTGTCCACCATGTTAATCGAGATACCTAAGAACAATAATTCTGGTTCTTGATTTTGCGCCATTATGTGCTTTTGGGTCATAAGTTTTTTTATTTTATATATCATCAMTGGATTTGCTTCTTTTTTTATTTTGATGTTCAATTCTGTATGAAAACAGTTTTGCAAGTGGATGAAGATCATCAAGACATCATAATATAAAAAAGAAAACATATGCACTGTTAATTTGTATATCCCCTTCCTTCACAGTCGTTTTTGAACAGGGGAAATAATGCACAACTCACTAAATTCTTCCGCCACACTCTTGTGATAGCTAGTGACACTCCAGATAAGTCAAAGTCACGTTAG